TCAGATTTTGGGCAAAGAAAATGGCCAAGAGGGCACAGAGAGCAATCAATCACCTAGGTGGAGACTACAGGAAGGAAATACAACCCTTAGAACTGGGGAAACAAAGAAGAGTCATTGACATTGATAAGGTTTGAGGGGCTGTGGCCAGCTGGTGGTGGTGTCTGAGGGGAGGGGTGAAGTCTGGTTCTGAGAATGTGGGAAAACCACCAGTGGGAACCTCTGCTGCTACTGCACCCCAATGCCCTGCAGGTGACAAGGACAGGAGGAGTTCTCTGTTCTCACTCTACCAGCCTCCAAGGCTGCCTCTAGAGCTGCAGGCCCTGGCAGGGCCCCAGCTGACAAAGCCAAAGTGGTTTGCAGAGTCCCCGCCACAACCTCGAAATGGGGGCAGGAAGGACAGTAAAATGAATCGGACATTATTACTCTTTGTGCATATATGATTACACGACCTGTGTAACTCTACATCATGTACGACCAGAAGAATGAGAAGTTACACTCCATTTATGTACGGTGTGTGGAAATGCAGTCTACTGTCATGTATAACCAATTAGAACAAAGAACGAGAGAGAGAGAGAGAAAGAGAGAGAGAGAGAATGACCAGCCAATTCCCCAGGAGCAAATAGATGTAAGTGTACAAACTCTTAAAAGAAGCCAAACCAAAATACCAGTATTTTTATGTCATCAAGGAACTTGGGCATATTTGGTGTTTGAGATATGTATGATATTTAAGAGTATAAAGCCTACTAGAGTGATAGCTTTATAACTCCACTTTAAAACGTGTAATTGAGAATTAATTTAGACTTGTGAATTTTTATGGTGACACCTAAGTAGACTATAAAATCATGTAATAGAACTTAAGGTTTTCTTTATTTATAAGCTCATTAGCGTCTGTAATTATTTAAGATTTGGGGCGATTTTTGCTTACTATCAGAAAAACTGAAGTATTTAAATAAATACATTTATTAGTTCATTTAGAAGTGTTTGAAGGGCTGAGCTAAGCTTATAAACGGGACCAAGCATTATTCAAAGCTTTCGCTGAAGTTATTGCTAAACTCTGCTAGACACATAAGCTGAACTTAAAAGCCTACAAAAGGTCTTTGAATTTGAATATTCTAAAGACAAAATTATTATATTATTTATTAAATTATTAGTGATTAATAAACATTAAACTATTACCTTTTAAGTTAAGCCAAATTTAAACTTAATGTTAATTTTAAGGGGAAAATAAAAACCACTGAAATTGGTTACCTAAGAAATCTACTGTCCAGGACACCAGTATCTCCTCCCCCTGCTCCCTGCCCCGTGAGTTTTCTTGAAGTGGCCAGGGAAGAGCAAGAGGTGTAGCTTTGCTCTTCGGTGTTTCTGGAACCTGTCAAAGCATCCCTAACCTTGTAGCAGGCTGAGCAATTTATGCTCCTGGCTTGACAATTCCCCTTTCTCATTTTCTATCAAGCCAGGACCACTTGGATGCAGAACCTGGGGGTGAGTCCCACCCAGCTCCATCACGTAGAAGACCCCAGCCTCAGTTTCATCATCTGCAAAATGAGGGTGATGCCTGCCTCCCAAGGTTGTGAGCATCGGCACAGAGCTCACTCGTACCACAGGGCAAAGGAATTTGAACCTCACTGTCTGCTGGCTGCCTGTGGGCAGGGAGCTGAGCACACTGGCCTGGGACACCCCCTCTTTCTTGACAAGGGGGTTTCTTCAAAGAAATGGGCTTCCACCAGGTGAACAATAAGGGCTGATTACCTTTTCCTCAAACAGATGTTCTGGGCATCGAACAAATGTCTTATCACAGGTCTAAAGAGGGCAGGCCCTGAGGACTGAGTTAATTCTCTGCAGGAAAGTAGCTTCCATCAGCTGGAATGGGAGGGGCTCTGATCCTGGGCCCCACCTGTGTTCACAGGTTCTCTTGTCCATTTGGAGCATGCTTGGAGAGCATCGGGTGGGGGGGAAGATCTCTACTAGAGAGAAAGGAAGGGAGGAAGGTCGTTTCTGCACATACCTGGGAGAAAGGCATGGAGATCCGGATGATTTCCTCCCATTAGTTTGCTCAATCCATGTGGCTCAGAACCGTCTCTGTATCTCTAGGCCCCGGGTGTGCAAATACAAACCCTAGACATCCTTGCCTTCCTGGGCGAGAATGTACCAGCAGAGAAGCAGCGGGGTTCTGGGGAGAGGGAAGAGTAGGAGCCAGGCAGGACATGAGAATGGGGGAGATGTCTTCCCAGGGTGATGATGGTGGCCTCTGCCTTACAGGGAGCCAGAGAGCAGCCACGAGACTGGAAAGGGAAATGGGGTCGGTGTGAAAGATCTCGAAGGCACAACCAGCTCAGGTGTGTGGTTTTATTGAAAGTTGGTGCAAGTTTTGAGCAGAAGGATCACCTGGGATGTCCATAGGGAGAAGTGGAATCTGGACACAAGCACAGCAGTGCTCAGCTGTAGAAGCCCAGGCAAGGGAAGCTGCGCCTGAGAAGCACGTGGAACGGGAAAGGAGAGGCTGGAGCCAGGGTCTCTAGCAAATTGGCCACTGTGGGAGTCCGGGTCGTGGTGGGTGGAGGACAGGCCCCTGGCTCCTGTGCCAGGCCTCCCCAGCCCTGTGGACATGGAGGCAGCACCCACAGCCTGTGGTCAGGTCTTCCTGGGGTCCCCGGCACACTGCATGGCGGGCCTTTCTCCTACTGAATCATCAGAGGGGGCAGCAAAGGCAGAGTCCTCAGACAGCTGGATCCAGAAGGAGTGATCCAGACAGCAGCAGATCTCAGGGGGATTGGGCTGATGGGGCTGGGGGTGCTCAAGGGCATTTGGGGACTTTTAGAAGCACTTCAGCCAACTTCCTATAGCTCCGTAGGCTGCACAAACAGGGTGAACCCGTGGGGACGGCTTTCTGGATCCATCTTGTTTTCCCAGTCTTCTCACAAAAGATCTCCCTGAAATGAGACCCCACAGATGTCCAGGTAGACGAGGAGTTTTCTGTCAAGAACCTTTCACGGGGCTGGGCTTGTGGCTTAGCGGTACAGCACTCGCCTAGCATATGCAGGGCCCTGGGTTTGGTTCTCGGTACCACATAAAAATAAATAAAATAAAGATATTGTTAAAAAAAAAAAAGAATCTTTCACCCACAAAAAAAAGTAATCAGTGGAGAAAGAAAACCTGAGGATTTTGTGGTAGGAAGAATAATACCACCACCACTCCCACCACCACCACCAAGATGTCACATTGTCATCTCTGGAACCCATAAATGTTATGAGGGAAAAGGGGCTGTGTGGATGTGACGAGGACTTCAAGAGGGGAGATTAGCCTGGTACCCGGAGGGACAAATGTAAATACAAAGGTCTTTTAAGGTGAAGAAGAAGGTGGAATGTGGGCTGGAGTCATGCAACCCAGGAGGCTCAAGCCTCCCTTCAGTGCTGGCTTTGAAGGGGCAGTAAGGTGGCCAGAGCCAAGGACCACCCACACCCTGTAGGGGCTGGCAGAGGCAAGAGAAGAGACCATCCATGAGAGCTTCCAGAATGTAATGCAGCCCTGACACCACCTTGATTTTAGAGACACGTCGGACCTCCAACCTCCAGAGCTGAGAGATGGTAAATGCGTGTGAAGTCACAGTTTCTTACCATCTGTTACAAGTGACAGGAAGTGAAAGCAGATGGTAAGGCTGGGTGCCTTGTCATCGGCTCTCAGCTCAAGCCAACTTGGAGAGGGACCTCTTCCACCTTCCCTCCCGTCACCTCTGGTCACCTCCCGTCACCGGCTCTTTACCGTCCAGTGTTGTTCACTCTTTGAAATGCTCCCATTGACTTGATTTCCAGCTTCCCCACCACATCCAAGGGAGCGGGCACTACTACCATCCCCAGCACCAAGAAAAGTGCCCCCATGCAGTCGGAGCACCACAAAAGATCTGACAGAGAGATGAGCGGGTGGACGGATGAGCATGGTGGCCCATTAATGTCACAGATGCATTGATGGCATGAGATCCGCCAAGGCAAAATACTCAGCAGCTATTTACCAGAGCAACGGCCTGCAGAGGCTCAGCAAAAACGGGGGATTATTAATCAGTTCAGATCACATCTCTTCAAACACTTGTTAAGCTTTCAGAGGGCTCAGACTAATGCTGCTACAGCCCTCCTAGGAGTGTTTATGCAGAGAGTCAACATAAATTTCCTCTGCCCAACAGTATCAGAGGGAAGTGTGAGGAGAGAGTCCACGAGTAAATACGGGGAGTGCCCTGTCGAGGTCCAGCCTCTGGGAAGAGAGGCCACGTTGATGTGGGGGAGTGGCCCGCCTTCTCAGATATTTTAGGATTTCCTAAACTGCACTGATAGGCTGCTTCTCTAGGAAGTGACTTGCCTATCCAGTCCAGGGTGGCGACAAAACCCAGGGTAGATTAGCGGAGCCACGGCCGCTGCCTAACTCTGGAGAGAAAGCCTCAGGAAAAGAGGTAAGATGGCAGGACAAGGGGGGTTTTATGGTTTGGATCTAAAATGTTCCCTGAAAACTCATGTGTTGAAGGCTTGGTCCCCAAGGCAGCAGTGTTCAGAGGTGAGGTTTTGGGGAGGTGACTGGATCCTTAGGTCAAGGACATCATCAATGGATGAATCCATGGAGGGATTCATAATTTAATGGTGGGTTGGGAGGTGGTGGACACTTTAGGAGTTGGGATGTAATTGGAGGAAATAGGTCTCTGGGGTCTGCTTTGAAGGGTCTCTCTCTCTCTCTCTCTCTCTCTCTCTCTCGCTCTCTCTCTCGCTCTGTCTCTCTCCTTCCCTCTTTCCTCATTTTGAAATAATGGAACCAAGTGACCATGGAAACCATGACCTCTGAAACCATGAACCCAAACAAATCTTTCCTCCTTTAAGTTCTTTTCCTCAGGTATTTTGTCACAGCAAAGAAAAGCCGACTAACCCATGGATACAGGGAGCACAGGATGCACCAAGATGTGACTGCTGTGCTTTGCAGATTCAACCAAGACACACTTGAGGCACCAGGCAATGGCAACAGGGTAACATGTACAAAATTATGTTTATTGGATCCATTTTGGAAACAGACAACATGTAAAAAGGGTTTTGGTTTGTTTTCACTCAGAGTCAAGAGTTGTGATTGCTTCCTGTTAAACCTCAGCCATGGGAAAATCCTGGCATAAATAAAAGGAATCTTCTTTGCACAGAGGAGAGGAAAAGTGGTTAAAAATGCCACAGGTATCATACTTGCAATAGATCTGAAGGCTAAAATGCCCATAAACACCCACAAAATTTTTATGTGTATAGTCTGGAATATTTACTATACCATCAGGTGTGTTCAAAGGTGAAGTTGTAAACTGGCTACCAGTCAGCAGCAATTAAGTATACACTGGTCTATACTGACACTCCCATCCTCACCCTGAGAGGTTATATATTTAACTGATGACTGCTTGCCTCATCAGAGATATCTGAGATATGGAAAAGGCATTTTAAAAACACAAATCATTAATCTTATAAACCAAAAAAAAGCAAACCCAGGCATGATTAATTCCTTTGCCTGGATCAATAAATATCTGCTAAGGTGTGTACTAAATGAGGACAGAAGCCATCAGTTAAATAAATCATGATGTTCCATTTGCTAATGCAGATTAGTCAATTTGTGGACTTTAAACAACACATGCTCGGAAGATCTCCTTGACATTCCTCTTCTGTCACTCTCTTGGAAGGATGAGATTGAATCAACTTTTTAAACAAAACTTCCAAGTCGCAAACTATCAAAAGCACAGTTCTAGACATACTTCAGATCTTCACCCAGAAGGGAAATACCATGGAGGCTTAGATGAGCTGCGGAGGTCTCTTCTCCAGCTGGCAGCTTCGACAAATCCTCGCCCTCTCCCAGCCCTCTCTTGCCTTGTGGCTCACATCTTAAGATTTCATAAACAAAACCTCCAAAGACCAACAAGATCCGGAAAGGCCACCATGTGCTCCCCAACACATTGGTGGAAGGAACTTTTTTTGTTGTTGTTCTCCTGGAGCTGCTATTAGTGAGGCCAACAGACAGACATGAAGAGGAGGATGGGGACTCAGGTCGATAGGAGCCCCGAGACCTGGAGGGAGCAGTCATACACAGTACCAAAGCCTGCTGCCTCAAATAGCATTGAGGCAGGTCAGAATGAAAACAAATAAACATCCTTCCAAAAAATCTCGCCCCCACTCCCGTCTTCTCGGCTGACTATCGACCATGGCAACGATCTGTCTGTTACAGTCCTCTACTCAAGAGGCAAACAGTCTCCGCACCCCAACACGGCTCTGCCTAGAAACCCTGGTGCTCACTAACGCTCACAGGTCCAGAGTGGCCCACGCCCTGCCCTGCCCACCACGGTTATTCTGAGCCACTCCCAGTCTCCCTTCCCAGAGGGTCTGCTTGATTTTCAGTGTGAAGAGACACACCCCATTGGAAATGGACAGTGCAAGATCCTACGTGCAAACATTTGCAAACAAGGTTTTGAAACAATACACGTTTTTAAAAATTCAAGTCAAATCCAGGCACAGACTAACTGGTAGGTTTCCGCCAGCCCCTCCCATCCACCAGAGGAAAGCCGTCCACTTTGAAATGAGAGAGAGATTAAGGCACCAGTGACTTCTAAGGAGGTTAGTTCCTTGACCTGGGGAGGAAGCCTGAGAGGGAACTGCTGAGGTTTAATGAAAGACAGACACCAGCCAGCCCGAGGCCTCCGGGCCCAAACCAAAGGACTCTGTGTGGGCAGCCCATGGGTGTAGGAGGATGGACCCTTGGCCACCGGTGGGCGGCGCTTTCCCAGTGATTACAAAACTAAAGTAAGGAGGGTGCGTTCACAGGGCCACGGGACGGGCTGCAGTTGACTTTCACTCCTGCCAAACCTGCTACTGCTTTTCGCCTGGTCAAGGGCCTCAAGGGGAAAGGCCAAGGCCAAGCCACTGCTGATGGCTTTGTGTGTGGTCCTGACAACCTCTGCCAGGGGCATCGGATGCAGCATTGGGAGCACCGGGCAGTCCACCGTCTCAGGGGAAAGGGCCCAGGCTTGAAGATCCAAGTGAGGGGGGAAGGAGGCAACCGGGTCTGTGTGGCTGCGAGGAGCTGGTCAGTCACTGAAATGAGGGACCCCCCCTTGGGCAGCTAGACCAGAGCTGTACCTTAAAATAAGGCACCTGCAACCAAAGGAAGAGCCCCTGGGGGTCCGTGTAGGGCTCTCCTCGTCCTGGAGGCAGAGCAGGCGCTGGGAAGCCCTGGGAAGCCCTGGGGGAGGCGACTCAGCTGAGGGAAGCGCAGTTGGGCTCCGAGTCCTCCTGGCTGTCCCCGGCCACCTCCTCCAGTTCGTCGGGGCTGTCGGTGATGTTGGGCTCACTGGAGCACTGCCGGTGGGGCGGGGGGAAGCTGGGCGGCAGCAGCAGGCACTTGTCCTCGCTGCCGGCCTCCTCCCCCAGGCCCGAGTGCATCATGGTGGCCATGGCCAGCAGCTGGATGTCCGAGTGGGCGTTGGCCACCGTGTGCCGCCGAACGCTGCCGCACTTCTCCAGGTAGGCCTCTCCCTCCTGCTCCGTCAGTGGGGTCAGGGCCATCTCGTTCAGCGGCCGGCTGACGGCGGTCACTGGGGAGGCGTAGTTCAGGAGGGTCACCTTGGGCCGGACCCTGGAGTACCGCCTGGCTACAAGAGAAAAGAGCAGCAGAGGCTGTAACTGAGGGGGACGGGTGCTGGGGGAACCGCTGGGGACTGTCCCCCCAGCAGTGGGGAGGGTGAGCAGGTGGCTCACCTGCTGACCAGCCCTGCAGGACCCAGGGAAGACCAGGCAGTGTCTAGACGTCTCTCCTGCCACTACCTGTTTACACCAGACCCTGCCCTTGATCTGCCCTACCCCCACAGTAGCTGGCACCAAAAGACTGTCCTTGACAGGTTAGGGAAGGGGCTCTCTTTCCCAGCTGCTGCTTGAGCCACTGGACGTGCCCTAAATTCCCCTTCTACCAATCTTGGAAGACCTGGGCTTTGGCTGGGTTAGCTCCAAAGAAGCCTCTGGCTTGGTTCAGGATGTGGTCTCTGCAGGGCCGACCAATCACGCAAGAGGGGCTTCACAGACCGCCATCCAGAGGAGGAGGGGCAGGGGGGGCTCAGCCAGGCAGCAGGACCCTCCTCCAAATTGCACCAAGTCAGGACACTAATGTCCTTCGTCTCCCATCAGGTGGATGAACTGAGACCTGTGTTCCAGTCAAGCCAAACCTCCTGGATTCGGAGAGCCTTTGGCACCACTGGAGAATGAGCTGGGCTTCCGGGATGGCCCCAAGCAGGCGGGCTCAAGGAGGAAGGCAGGACAGGAATACTATAAAACTGCCATTTTTTGAATGCTCACCATATTCTAGAAACTCCACTCAGCCTTGACATGCATCTTTCGAATCCTCCTAGAAATGGGACCTAAGTTATGATATATTATTAGCTCCCACTTTACAGGCGAGAACACTGAGCCTCAGCTAGAATACAGTCAAGCAGAGACTCACACAAGCTCTGTGTCCCCCCTCCCCTCAGACCCCGCTCTTCCTCATGCCCACACAAAGAGCACTGAAGTTCTAACAGAAGTACCTCAAGGGAAGGACGAGTCAGTTTATGGCATTCAAAGGTGGTAGTGGGGGGGATATCTGGGAGCTACCAGGAACTTGACCGGGAGGATGGGCACTAGACACAGACCTTGTGGGTAGAAGAACACTGAACCAGGGGGAGAGGGTGGCGGCATTTGATGGGAACAGCCTGAGCAAGCTGCGAGACGGCACAGCCCTCAGGTCAAACCCTGGCTGGGACACAGAGTCCATGGAACAATGGAGCTGTGTCCACACGGGCAGGATGGGCATGTCCTAGGGGCCAGATGGCAACATCTGTGGTGCACCACAGCCATGGGGGTAGGGGGCCAGGATGCGGTTACTTGCAGAAGATTGCCCTGGCAGGGATGTGAACATGGGATGCGGCCAGCGAGAGCAGGCGGGAGGAGATCCAGGGAGAAGGCTCAGGCATCATTTTCTATCATAAATCTGGATTGCACGTGTGAGAGAAAATAGTGTCAGAGTCAAGAGGAGAGGAAACTGGGAAGACCAGGACAGGAACTAGCATGTGGCAGTGATGGGGGGGGAGTCGGGGGGAGTGAGGGAGACGACAGGATGGAGACACTAGAGAGCCTGATGCTACAGAACCCAACAAAGGAGGGATGTGGGACAGGACGGGGCGAGGAGGAAGAGCAGTCGGGGTGAGTGATGGGCACTGAATGGTGGACAGGACAGCGCCAGACGCAGCACAAGCTGACCTGGGGAAGGGGCTGAGGGTGGGAGGAGGCAGAGGAAGCAGTTCGTGAGCCCCAGTTGGCCACGCTGACCTTGACCCTCAAATGCCTCCCTGGGCAGACACATAGGAAGAGATGTTCAGAAATGTGGGTATTTTCAAAGTTAGGACATCAGAAAATGTTCACAGTTATGGTTTTGGGTGACAAAAGCAGAATATAAACAATGCTATTATATGTATTTTTTTTCTTTTCTAAACGACACATTATACTGGTGTTACACACACACACACACACACACACACACACACACACACTGAGCTGGGAACACTATACCTGAAAATACCAATTGTAGTTACCTCTGAGTAAACAGGCTATCAATAATTTTTTAAAATTTCTTCCTTATCCTCTTTTTGATATTTTACAAATTTGATTCCATGGGCATGCTTTCCGGAGCCATTTTGGAGATATAAAAGCTGCAGTCTCCTGGACCTTGGTAATGGCCAGAGCCCTCAAAGTGACCGAGACCTCTCTGAAAATGGAGAGGGGGTCGAGGACTACATTATTCTTGTGTATGCCTGTGTGCAGGGTGAATGAAATGAGAAGGGCCACCTAAAACAACAATAAAAGCACTGGTGGCTAACATGGAGCACCTTGTGTATACAACTATATAAACATCCAGTCCAGGGAGGAGGGACCATTATCATTATGACCACTCCATACATGAGGAAACCAGGGTACCAGGAGGCTAGATAACTTGCCCAGTGTCACAAGACACAGGCACTGGATTCTGAAATTTGGGTATCTCGAGCTCTGCGTGACGGCACATGCCTGTAATCCCAACAGTGTGGAAGGCTGAGGCAGGAGGATCATGACTTCAAAGCCAGCCTCAGCAACTTAGCGAGGCCATAGCAACTCAGAGACACCCTGTCTCTAAATAAAGTACACAAAAGGGCAGGGTTATGGCTCAGTGGTTAAGTGCCCCTGAGTTCAATTCCAGTACCAAAAAATAAAAATAAAAATAAAAAATTGGTGAAGCTCCCTGCCTTCTTCAGAAGGAAGGACCCCCTAGGATGGTGTGAGAGGCTGGAAATTAACTAAATAGTTGAGTGTCCAAGGTCTCAAAGGCAAAAGTGAATGTGACACCCCAATTCCTGGGGCCTCTCTCTCCCAACCTTTACTGGGACCCTGTCGGTCCAGAAGCCCTGAGTCTGGGGCCACAGCTGGCATCGTGGGTTGGTGCCAGGCCTCGGTGAGGCAGGAGGTGCCCGCTGTCACAGGTCTATCCCGGGAGAGAGCCAATTTGAAGGTAGGTACGAAGGGGCCAGAAGCACAGTGGAGGGCTGAGGGTCAGGCAGGTTCTGATCAGGGACTTCTCTCTTTCCAACCTTCCTCCCCTCCAGAGCACAGCTCTCTCTAGCCTTCACTAGTCACCGCTTTCCACAATGCCCTTCCCTGAAGACCCCCAAAGAGCACACCCCTCTCCTAGCAGGCCAGAGTGACACCATGGGATACAGCAGAGAGCAGAGAGCAGCATTAGGACCCCACACGAATGGATGGGGTGCCCACTCTCTAAAGGGAAGGCGCACAGTGCTGCTCATAGACTGGCCTTGGGGACACTTGCTTGGCCCAGGCTACTTTGGTTTGCTCTCTGCTCCTCCCATGGACCCCAAGGGGCCTGGGCATGTGCCCACCTCTTCCAGAGCTCATGCTCCTGGATGCGTACCACAGTGAGATCTGCATATGGCCACCCACAAAGCTCACAGCAGCTTGCATCGAGATGTGTGTATGTGTGTGTGTGTGTGTGTGTGTGTGTGTGTGTGTGTGTGTATGCAAGCACATGCGAGCACACATGTTTAATGACAAGAGAATGAAATTCCAACCCTTAAGACTAAATTCCCAAGTCTACTGGCTCAGAACCATAAGGGAGCTGTTTGGTGGTAACAGTAGGAATTTTTCTGAATCAAATGACAATGTGCAGAATTTAGAGTTTAGAGTATTCCCTTCCACAGCTTCACTGTTCATCCCAATCTCCTCCCTCAGAAACAGGCGGGCGGGGGCTCGTTATCCCCACTGCGCAGGCGAGGAAGACCAGGGTGCAGCCCCCGTCATCTTGGGTTCTCAATAGCAGGCCCAAATTTTCCCTACTACACACCACTACGATTCAAGGCGCTTTGCTGTCACACTCCAAAGACAAGCTCCTGAGCCAGCCCCCCATCTCAAGTCAAGTAATAGCAAACACCACCCATTCCCACTGCTGCTGCATAAGAGGCTGGGGATGTCCCCAGCACAGGCAGGGTCAGGGTCATTGCCCACCCCTTTGAGGACAGGAGACACAATGCCAAGGAGCGAACCAAGAAGAAAGTCTATGCATGAGCACTTGTCCCCTCCAAGCCACACATTTCTATATTGTCCCCACATTCTAACAATAACCATACATTACTTTTATGATCAGAAAAAATCGATACCCATAAAACAGAAGCACTGGAAGAGTTCAAAGCAGCAAGGACCCCATTAAAGAACCATCCTTTAAAAACAATGCCCTTGAACACAACTCATTTCTCTCCCGCTGCTGTTAAAAGCCAGCACTGGGACTGGCTGTAGAGAAACCCGTGTTGGGGGTGAACACTGCAACCAGCCCAGGTGCAGACTGGACGGAGCAGGTACTACATGCAAATGGTTGTGCTCCTGAGGGTCAGGTCCATCTGCTAGAGGGGTGCAGAGGGCAGAGCCAGAGGCAGGTAGGAGCTACATCATTTCTACTGTTGGTAGAGACTCAGATGGTTTATAGAGGTCCGGGAAACATTCTGTTTGGGGAAGGGGTATATGAAAAGCAGCAGTATTGATGTTAGATGTTACAGCATAACTAAAACTTGGGAAAGGCTCCTCTGGCCAGAATGGGCTCATCAGGCCATAACCCTGCCTTTTTGTGTACTTTATTTAGAGACAGGGGTCCTTGAGTTGCTTAGGGCCTCGCTAAGTTGCTGAGGCTGGCTTTGAAGTCATGATCCTCCTTTGCCCAGGAATGAGGCTGGGCAAAGTCTGGACATGGGGTGAGTTAAGAGGGAGGGGATTTACAGGGCTGACCCACTCAAAGCATCCCCAGAGAAAGAGAGAACTGGCTGACCGAATTCCGCAGGCCCCAACCTGCAGAGGTCCAGCAGAGGTCTCTAAGGGGTTCCTGGACATCAACCATCCCTCACTTGAGTCACAGGCCAAAGTCCTCGGAGCGTTCAACAGGCTACAAATCGACAAAAGAGGTTGCTCTGGACGACACTGAGCAGGGCTGAGAGCAGAAGCCAGCGTGAGGGTGGCCAACCCTGGAGGAGAGGGTCCCAATGGTGCCCACCCATCCTCCCATAAATGCTTCCTGACCTGCAGCACACATGAC